TTACAGTAAGACCTGCACTATCATGACAGAGCCTAGATAAGACTCCAGAGCCAGTGTGCTGCAAGATATTTTTACACACTGTTTTGTTAAGTTGATTATAGCTGTCTTTAAAGGGATAGTTCAGCCAAAAATGAACATTCTATCATCATGTACTCATACTCGCGTTGTTCCAAACCTGGATTACTTTCTCTCCTCTGTGGAACACAATATTTTGTTGGATAGTGGGGGGCCTTCGAGTCAAAAAGTTTGAGAACCACAGTGTATGTGTGTGGTTGCCTTTTTTTTTTCTTTTTTTTTTCTCATTGTATAACCACACAAGGTCTGTGATTTAATTGTATTCTCAGATGAAATACTCACAAACACACACAAAAGCACAGCTGAGGTTGCGTACCAATTGGAGCACAAATTTTAAAAAGATTATAAAGACCAGTAAGAATGGATAAATTCATATTTTGTTTGTTTAATCTGTTTTGCCTCAAATGATGAGGTCATAGCAGAAGAACACGTTGCATTTTATAGACTGCTTTATCAGCAAACTGCGGCTGTTGAAGCCTCTTGCACCTGAGAATGCCCTGTAGACGCTTTGTGTGTTGCTGTGGGCTAATCGTGACTGGTGTTTATACCATTTTGAAATGCTAATGTACTGAAAGTTATGCAAATGCCTTTTATTTGGGGAAAAATGTCCTTCACGTACAGCCTTTTTGTAAAAACAAGTTCATATTAAGCCAGGAATTGTGCTGGAGTCTGCTTTTATTAAGTGTATATTTAATCCATTTCTGTGAAACTGTAGTCCCAGTGTCATTTGCTTTTGACAGGTGCCTTGTGTGCTTTGCAGTTGCAAGAAGAACCTGCACTGGTTTTATGAGGGAACATTGTGTCCTCCTATTGGTGTAGGTCACCACTTACAAGAAACCTGATCTCAGAGGGTGTGGTCGCATCAAACGGATTCACATCTGTCCGAACTATCGCATGAGGAGATCAAATATCATCTCTGCTGTGACCATAGTTTGACCCTGAATTCCAAATATGGCTGCTAAAGATTAAGGCGTCAGCTGCTGAGAACACATACAACCAAGTTTGGGGTGAAGGGAGCACCGTAAGTGATCTGATGACATGTATGCAGCGTCAGTCAAGACTTGGCAGTAATCTAATTTTGTTTTTGAATGGGACTTGGGACTCCAGGAGGTCTACCCTCTGCCACTGTATATCTACTTCACTAAACCCCAAAAAACATCCTTTTGCTGTTTGTTAATGGCCATTTAGATTTTTCATAATTTTTTTAAAGTAAAGATGATGTACGTATTAGAAAGTATAATTCAAACAAAGTTAGGAAAACAGTTTATAGGTTATGAGGTAAACAGTGACTGGCTATTGATTTGCTGTCTTTAAAGGGATAGTTCAGCCAAAAATGAACATTCTATCATCATGTACTCATACTCGCGTTGTTCCAAACCTGGATTACTTTCTCTCCTCTGTGGAACACAATATTTTGTTGGATAGTGGGGGGCCTTCGAGTCAAAAAGTTTGAGAACCACAGTGTATGTGTGTGGTTGCCTTTTTTTTTCTCATTGTATAACCAAACAAGGTCTGTGATTTAATTGTATTCTCAGATGAAATACTCACAAACACACACAAAAGCACAGCTGAGGTTGCGTACCAATTGGAGCACAAATTTTAAAAAGATTATAAAGACCAGTAAGAATGGATAAATTCATATTTTGTTTGTTTAATCTGTTTACTTTGTTTTGCCTCAAATGATGAGGTCATAGCAGAAGAACACGTTGCATTTTATAGACTGCTTTATCAGCAAACTGCGGCTGTTGAAGCCTCTTGCACCTGAGAATGCCCTGTAGACGCTTTGTGTGTTGCTGTGGGCTAATCGTGACTGGTGTTTATACCATTTTGAAATGCTAATGTACTGAAAGTTATGCAAATGCCTTTTATTTGGGGAAAAATGTCCTTCACGTACAGCCTTTTTGTAAAAACAAGTTCATATTAAGCCAGGAATTGTGCTGGAGTATGCTTTTATTAAGTGTATATTTAATCCATTTCTGTGAAACTGTAGTCCCAGTGTCATTTGCTTTTGACAGGTGCCTTGTGTGCTTTGCAGTTGCAAGAAGAACCTGCACTGGTTTTATGAGGGAACATTGTGTCCTCCTATTGGTGTAGGTCACCACTTACAAGAAACCTGATCTCAGAGGGTGTGGTCGCATCAAACGGATTCACATCTGTCCGAACTATCGCATGAGGAGATCAAATATCATCTCTGCTGTGACCATAGTTTGACCCTGAATTCCAAATATGGCTGCTAAAGATTAAGGCGTCAGCTGCTGAGAACACATACAACCAAGTTTGGGGTGAAGGGAGCACCGTAAGTGATCTGATGACATGTATGCAGCGTCAGTCAAGACTTGGCAGTAATCTAATTTTGTTTTTGAATGGGACTTGGGACTCCAGGAGGTCTACCCTCTGCCACTGTATAACTTCACCTCCACGCAGGATCACTGGCTCTCCCATCATGTAGCACCTGCTGACCACTGGAAGGAAACTTTAATGGCTGACAAGAATCTGCTGTATGAGCAGTAGCACACCTGGTCTACAGGCATTTAGGATTCTGCATAAGGGAAGCTAAAATGAAATGCCGAGGTTTCTAGAAAGTTAGCAGCAGAGATGTCATGCCCATTCATATTACTTGGTTTGTGTTATTTAACAAAACATACATTATTTTGTTCTTAATCTCAAACTTTAAATGAAACACAATACCACCTGACTAAATTGTAATAGATAAAAACGATAATATGTTTATTATTATTTATTTTTAAAATAATATTTATGTAATTTAGTTGTAGTACCGCTGATATTTGTATGAGTGCTGTAGTGGTTTTGTTGCCATGTTTTTTTGTGTTAGGAGAAAATTATATCCAAGAGGGGAGTTTTATCCCAGAGCCTTTATCCCCATTGTACCCTATTACAGAGAATATGTGAAGGCTTAGATATTAGAAACATTAGATATTATATAATTATTTTTTTTATTTTTAAGAACAAATGTAATTAATTGTAGAGAGACAATACTTTATACAGTTTAAATTTCTCCCCATCAAACCCAGAACAGACTGCCTTATGCCGAGTTCACACTGCACGATTTTAGCCCGATTTTTCACTCGCCGACAGGTTTTGCGAAATCGCCAACAAATGCCCGAAATCGGAGAGGCAAATCGGTGCTCGTTCACGCAGTGACAATCACGCAGTGTGAATTATCAAAGACGCGATCTGAGGGAATTGCCGACACGTCGCCGACGCCCACAAAATATTTGGCATGCCAAATATCTGGAGCTGTCGGCGATTCACAATCACGCTGTGTGCA